GTGGTGTGCCCTGGAGCCCTGGACAACAAAATACTGTTGAAGACAAAAACAGGCCACATCTCAACCGCGACGGTTGGACTTATTGGGCTTTTTGTTGCTTTGGGTCCGGTGAGTTAGATCTTCTCGTGGGCCCAACATTTAGCAATCAATCCGGCCATCCAGGCGGGCTTACAGAATTAATTATTTTTATACTCAAGAATTGGGCCGAAGTCACGTTTTATTGTTATCGCTGCCGACGCGACACTCAAGCTCTTGCTTCGTCTTGGGAAACAAGGAGAGAAGAGGAAAATGGAGTCATCCGCTCAGGAGGAGAATGAGAGATGAGGAAAATGGAGGGAATGGCTAAAAGCCAAAAAGGTCGTAGCTTTCTTCTCCGAGCAGAAACAAAGTTCCTTCCATTTCCTTTTCATCTATCTTTGTGAGCAACCCCCCTTCCCCTTTGAATTTTCTTTCCTTCTTCTCTCTCTCTCTCTCTCTCGTTAATAAAAGCTCTGCGTGTAGTTCTTCTTTCGCTTTTTCAACGAGACTCTGCAATCTCCATGCTTGTCAAGCTGATACAGGCCCTCCCGTTGGTTTCCGGTATTCGTTTATCTCGTCTATCCCGTTGCCGTGAATGGGTTTTGCTAATTCATACCCTCTTCTTTTATTAGGGGAAATTTTTCCCCATTTGGTTTCATTTCGGGGTTTCTGGGTTTGCACTTTTTAGAACGTCGATTCTTAGGTTTCTACCTGGATTATCGTGGTTGTGTGATTTCGCAATGTGGGTATGATGTCAAATGTGAATCACTTCCTTGGGTTGATCTCTTTTGTTTGGGTTATGCAGATTGCAGAGAGGACGTTCTGCGTTTGCTTTCTGGGTTTTGGCTTCTATAATGGTTTAAAATGTGGAAATCTGTCCGTTTATAGATCAAAGGTTCCTCGATTGCTGAAGCCTTTCTTGTTTGCTCTTTTCAATGCCTTGATATCTATGTCCTCAATTTCTTTCTCCATCTTTTCGATGTTATTTTTTCAGATAGTAGTTCATATTCAGGACTTGCGTTTTTTGAATGGTATTCCTATGGGGTCATAATGCTACGAACTTAGGATCATTACTTTGTCTAGTGGGCTGGGGATGTCTCTCTCCTCATGTTTGATTGCTGTTATCAGATGAACTTCTACCCAAAAAAAAAAAAAAAAAAATTCAAATTGTTGGCATTTTACTTTTTTTGAAGTCTCGTACAGCAGTAGCTAGCAGTTGGAGAAGTCTGCTAAGAAGTGGGATTCATAATTTACAGCCTATTGATGTTTCTTTGATGTTAGTAGTGGGTTGAATTTACTCCAGTTTCTTTCAATATAATTTCTTGATTCATGGATGGCTTTTCCCCCTTTTCCAATTTGGATCACAGGAAGTTGCTGCTGGTGGAATAAGTTCTTGAAAGCTTTTCTTGGTTGATGAGGAATGGATTTCACAAGCGGATAGGTTGAGCACAGAATCTGCTTTTGAAGCTGCTTTAGAGAGCAAAAAACCAGTAGCAGCAGTTGCCAACAGCCTCTTATATCAAGAATAGTTCCACAGACTTCTTGTGCCACATCATGGAGTTGGATTATAGATTACCTACAAAGAAACTTGTGGACTGTAGAATTTGTCATGATGAGGATGAGGACACAAGCATGGAAGTGCCGTGCTCTTGCAGTGGCAGTTTAAAGGTTGGTTATCCTTCGGTTTCTAATTTAAAAACTTGTATTTGCTGTTCCATATCATGATGATACATCACAAAACATAGATCCTCTTCCACGGACAATTTCTTGTTCCAATCATGATGGTTTCTTGGTTCTTCATCAGAGAGATGTTATACTTCTAGCCACTAGATTTTCCAGTTACATGAGATTGTGCTCTTCGTGCAAATTATCGACTGGCACGCGCTGGATTTATGAGGGATTCATTATATTTTAGCCCTTAAAAGAGATGGTGCAGCAAATTATATTTGGTATTTAAACTATTGTGACTGATTAGGAGTACTTTGTCTACATTGCAGTATGCCCACAGAAAATGTGTTCAGAGGTGGTGCAATGAAAAGGGTGACACTACCTGCGAGATCTGCCAACAGGTGCTTTATCACACTTACATTGTTTCCATGTCTCCCTGTTTATTTACAACACATCAAAGCGATGCGAAAATGGATATAAGCATTGTCTTTGGGTTTTGTCTTCATGCTCCAGCAATTCAAGCCTGGTTACACAGCACCTGCTCCATTGTTTCACTATGGAGGAATTCCTGTGAACTTCAGGTATTGTCTGTTCATTAGTACCAGTATGGGTATGTTTGAACTTCTCCGTTAAGTCATACAATTCTTCTGTTTTTTGTTTTATATTTCAGGGGAAACTGGGAGATGTCTGGAAATGACTTCCATAATCATCAATTCATAGCAATGGTGACCGATGATCGTGATTTTTTGGACTCCGACTTTGATGATTATACAACTACTCCTTCTCCTACAAGCCTGATGTGTTGCCGGGTCGTTGCCATTATCGTACATCATTCTATCTCTTTCTCTCCTTCTCCTACAAGTCTGTGTATGCTATGCATACACGATATATGTTCATGGCTATCTTTTCTCCCCTGCTTGTATCGCATTGCCAGCATGCCTGTGTCCCGTCCATGCAAACATCCTCACCTTCATTTGAATGTCCAATAGCTAGCCGAGTCCTTGTATGTTATGTACTCAGGGGCACACTGCAGACACACATACCTCGCTAAGTCACTATGCCTCCTTGTAACTAAATTCAATCCACAATTTGGATCCTTGATGCCTGTTACTTAAGGACAAAAGTAGGGTACGGTTTTTATAGTTCTGGGTTCAACTTCACATTTCTGCTCGAATTTGCAGTTCATGGTACTCCTTGTGCTGCGCCATACCTTGCCGATCATTACTACTAGAACCGAAGACTACTCTGTGACATTGTTTACAGTAAGCTGTGCATTTGCGGCTTCGATGTAATATATGATTGCATTCAAATATCTTCATTTCATGTATTAAAGTAAAGTTAATATTGGTGCAGTTATCGCTGTTGAGAACAATTGGGATTCTTCTGCCAATTTATGTCATGGTTAAAGTCTTTGCAGCCGTCCAGCGTCAACGTCAGCTGGTCAGTTCATAATAATCTTAGTCCAAAATTTTGCTAGACTGGGAGACCCTGTATATTAATGGCAGTTCTACTACCCTTCCCTGTATCTGAAAGTGGGTTATGGTCAAGATGAAAGAATTCATGCTTTTCCTCAGCTTATTGATCTCTCTTGGTTCCTGGCTGGTTAAGTTTATGTCAATATGTAGTAAATAATAGAATGCCTAAGCGGCTGATATTGTTCGATTGACCAGGTTTCACATATGGCGTTCATGCCATCTTCGGATGAAGAAAGTGAGCTCCCCCAAGTAGAAGCTCAGTCTCGACTAGAACCTCAGTCGCGGCTTATTCGTGTGCAATGACTGGTGAACGGACTCCACCAAACAAAAATGGTCAAGCCAGAGCATCAGCAATGTCATGTTACGTATAGCAACTGCGTGTTGTTGCAATCTGGGGAATGGAGGGAGCAGTACTGCAAGCAAATCTTCAAAATTCTTCCTTCTGTTCTTCCCATAGTGGTGGAAATTTCGCTACCTATGTCAATCGAGAGAGAGAAGGGAGATGGATGTACCTCCAAGAGGTTGGGAATGTATAGCTTTAACGCTCTGTTTGGCAACAATGGGGTGCAAATTGAAGGAGGGTGCAAGTTGAGGGGTAAATTGCTGGGGGGTGCAAATTGCTGGGGGGTGTAAGTGGAGGGGTAAATTGTTGTTTGGATGAAAAAGTAGGGGGGTGCAAATAGAGTGAAAAGTAAGTAATTATATTATTTTAAAATAGATTTTAAAAATAGATTTTAAGATTACAAAATAGATTTTAAAATTTTAAAATATTATCATAAAATAATAAAATAAATATTACTATATAATAATAAATATACTTTACTAAAAATAGTTATTATATAATAATGCTCAAATAATAATTAATTATGACAATTGTATAATCATTGATCGAGCAATCTCAAAACTCGAAGCTCAACTTGTAACTGGTCATCCTATATAGGGTTTTCGTGTCTAGTTTAATCTTAAATTGTCAAACACGTCCGAATTTGTAAGTTTTAACTATTTAGTCAAATAAACTGAGTTAACCAAACAATTTCTCTCTATCTTTTCCACAAACACTTCGTATCTCTAATTTTCAATGCAAATTCGATTCAACCAAGAGATCTAGATTTGACTTGACGAACATTGATAAACTTGTTTCAAGAGTCAAATGGTCAATCCCGAATAATGTTTACATTAATGATATTTATAAAAAGAAGAAATTGATAATATTAATTATTATATAATTATATATAACACAATTAGAAAAACAAAATTCCATAATTCCCCCCTCCCCCTCTCTTCCTTCCCTTGCACCCCAATTTGGGGGGTAAGCCGAAACAGTAAATTTGCACTCCCGTTTTGCACCCCCTACTGTTCCAAATTAACCAAACAGGTGCAAATGTGTTGGAAATTGTATTTACCCCTCACATTTGCACCCTCCTCCCATTTACCCCTCTTCCCAAACAGAGTGTAAAGGTTTATCAGATGGCTTTTTAAGGTTCAGTTAATCACAAAGTACAGCGTTCATGTCAATGCAAACCGAAGATTTCAAACTCAAAACAGAATGGAGTCCGCCAGAATGCATATATATGTTGACGTAACCAAATCATCAGCATCACCAAGACACAGTTCAACTAGACAGACAAAGATAACGTAAAGACATATACCATAGATTAAGAACAAAAGCACAATAGTTGTTTTCCAATCCAAATCCCAAACAACATTCATGAAAGAAGTTTGATATAACAAAAGACAGATATAAGTGTAGTGTTCCCATAAAACCCAAAAGACACTTTATTCTTGAAGACAACAACAAAGGCATCAATGATTACGACAACGGACAGAACACCCTGCAAGTCATTCCTCTTCGGTCTCCGATTCAGCATTCTGGAGCCAATCAATGAATGGCTCAGCGCTCTTCACGATCTTAGAATCCTTGTTGGCTCCTTTGAGATTCCCGTACCACTGCAGAATGTGCTCCTCCTCCAGAACATCAGCGTCATAGAGAGCTTTTAGAACAAGAGCCACCTCCTTCCCTGCACCAGATTTCTCAAAGAAACCCTGGATGGAACCAAGTAGAAGCAACTGAGAATCTCCACCTTGGGCTGCAATGGCAGCAGCCAGATATTTCTTCTTCTTGACAACTTCCTTCGCAAGCCCCTTCTCAACACCCTCGAACAATGCCATAAATAAAGTATCCATCTTTTCCTGACCTGAACCAGGAAGTGAATCCAGAAGACCAGGCAACTGGCTTGCAGAGACTCCTTTACCAATGCTTTCTTTTAACTCACTGGTTAGAGTAGTGGTAGAAATCGTCTTCCCGTTCTCTTTGGATTTCTCCTCAGCTTTAGGAGAAACAGCACCTTTTGGGCTGCTGCCATTAGCTTTTGCAGTTTCCTTGGCCTTCTTTTCGGTATCAATGGTAGCAAGCATAACCATTTCAGCAGTAGCAGCACTCAATTGCTCCTGGATGCGCTGACGAGCTGCCTCTGCAGATGTATCAGTGTGCCACTGAACATCGTCATCATCATCACCATCATCATCGTGCTCTTCCTTCTCATCAACCTGACTATGTGTAGGTGACACGCGCTCTTCATCAGATCCACTTGCCTTCTTCTTTGTACTTCCAGCCTTGGCTCCATCCTTTGAGGTAGTAGTTGAGCCCTTCTTCTTGACATCCTTCTTCACTTTCTTCAACTCCTCATCTGCAGCCTCACCTTCCTTTAGTCGTTCCTTCTCAGCTCTCCTCATTGCTTTCTTGTCCTTCGATCCCTTTTTTGATTCCGGTGGGTTCTTCAAAATGAAAGTGGTCAGCTTGTCTCTCATATCCACATCAGAAATAAATCCACAGGCAGCACACTTGAGTTGGAGCATCTGACTTTTGGTGATGAGTATCTCAGTCTCTGGATTCCCACAGCCATAGCACTGAACATACTTTTTTATGAAGATTTCCAGAAGTCCAGCAAGTTTTGCAGTTTCATGTGAGCCATTCACTAAAGCAATACCAGTTTTCTCATCAAATTTTGATTGAGCACCAAGCTCACAACCAAAGTACTTGGTAGTATAAGAAGCAGGCCGAGCCAAAGCCTTTGCAATGTCAACCATGTTGACTATATTAGTCTTGATGCCATTTCCTCTGCCCTCAATCTTGGTAACCATTCTAGGCATCTTATACCTGTAGAAGGCATCGTCACTGTTTGAAGCACCAATGTTCTGCAACGCCATCTTGTCTTGATTTTGAGTAAATCAAAGATGAGATGCTTATAATAGCTGAGGGTAAAGGATGGATTGCAGAGGGTATGAAGAGCTGATATTGCCTGCCAAAGAACTTTCAGCAAGAAAAGACTTCACTTTTTCTGTCAGAAAAGGTTGCATCCAGAAGCAACCATGAAGCTCTGAGTGTTCAACAAATGGCCCAGTATGCATACAGATGATTTTTTGGTCAAACAGTGGCCGCTCCTTTTCCCGTGAGAGCAGGCAACGATTACCTAGCAATCCAATCGTTCCCAAGATGAAAATGGCCTGTATGGACATAAAAGAATCTCAACTTTCACAAACTGCAGATTGCAGCAACACTTCCAGCAAAGCTCCTGAACAACCAAAAACACAGCAAATGTCAGGATTAAAGTTCCAAAGTGAAAGGAGACATATTACATACTTACATGAAGTCAGATACAGAAAGAAGGAAAGCAAATTTAGAGCATTTGATTGCTTTAAATGCCAAATGTGAAACCTTTAATGGCATAATGTGAGGGATAAGGTTTTCCAACACACGAAATGATTGAAGCCTGGATTGTGGTTCCTTAGTCTCAATTGAGTATGCATTTACCCGCAATAGACTTTTATGCACCGATTACCAGACCACATAAGTCGGAAAGCATATTCTCAGTACAAAATGGAAGCAAGGAGGTTTCCCGGTTGAAGGTAAGGACTAGTATATACTGAACCAATTAAGCAGTGACAACATAAGATTATCAGGAGCCAAGGGAAGCCAAAGACAGTAGTAAATTACCAAGAGACATCATATATCAGGCATACAAATGCGCAATATCAATCATCCTAAGACATCTAGAATGAAATCAATCATACAAAGGTTCTACTGGAAAAAGATCGTATGCAAAATAATACCACAAACAAGCACAGAAACCACTAAGCTCGTAAGAATAAATTGCAGCCCAGCCTACTTAGACAAGGTCAAAAAGACAATTTCTGCATAAAACACCAACAGTTGCAGATAATAGATAAATTAAGTACCCTTCAAAAGTAATTAAGAGGTTCCCAATCCATATCATGTAGCTACTTCCTCTTTCATCATTGATTGACACAGTAAATACTCTCAGAACACAGACCCCAAAAAGCATTAAAAGATGATCTCAGAAACAATACCAAGAAATACCAGACTCCCCAATCTTCTGGGAATATGTTAAACCAAACCCAAATACAAAATCTACAATCACACACAACGGAACAACAATCGGTAACATAAACGAATAGCCCATCAAAACGGCGCTTCCGCTATTCAGAAACCCAAATTCCTAAACTAATCTACCATGTAACCAAACGAAAAACAACAACGCTAGGTAATCAGCCATCCAGAATCGCAAGATCCAACCTTTACCAGCAATCGGAAACAAAACAGACAAACGGTAACAATAACCAACATAAGGAGAAAAGAGCACCTTCAAAAAGATAGCGAAACGGCGAAGGACGCAGAAACAAGGAGAGCGGCAATCGGTGTAGATCTCAGGGTGTTGCAAGACAGCGGAGCCGATGGATGCAGAAGGGAAAAGATATCTCCAGAGATCAGTAGAAGCGGTTTGGTTATATGGGCTATCTCGTGGCGGTGGGGATGTGGCTCTCTCAAGTCTCAACAATACAATTTTGCTGAAATAAAAATAAAACGTCGCATCCTTCCTGAGGTTTATATATAGCTGTCGATTAGGGTTCTTATTCTTTTCTTGGTTCGGATATGGACTATGGAGGCAGGGGCGTGTCAGTCTTCGGCCAGCATACGGAATATTAAGAATTTTTTTTATGTATATTTTGAATATTTTCTTAATTTTGATGATTATTTTTTGAGCTGTCAATAGACTATGTTGGATAACACTTTAGGTAAATTTCACTTCGATAAAATACGATAGAGAGGTGCATGGATCATAATGAATATTTAATTGATAAATTACAGTTTTCTAAAAATTATGAAGTTAAACATGCTCAATATTGAGTAGTGCATAGATAAGTGACCTCTCAAAAATATCATTATGATGCTCCAAAAAACAATTGAATGACATTACACAATTATGAATCAAATTTGATGCATGCTTCAACAAACCTAAAAAAGGGTTTTCATTTTCCTGCATCTAATACATATAGGAAACCATATTCATCGAAGTTCATTCCTATCAAAGATAAATATCTATTACAAATCTTTCTATTAGAGAAGGATTATATATATAATAATCCACTCCTCATCCCTCTGTTCGTTTACAAAAGCATCGGCTATACGTGAGGTTCCCACACCTTGTACCTGGTCGGTACTGGAAGATGATCCACCACAAAATAATAACAAGTAGTTATGGTGACTCTAACATAATAAAACCACACTTGTCGCCAGTATGGATTAATATAGAGAACACTCGCAATTGTCAGCAACACCAAGACAAAAGACACTCCACTGCTCATGTAGAAGCTCTCCATGTCAATGTAGCCACCATATTCGTCATCATTGTCATCAATGGGTGTCTGTGTTACATACGGTTTTGGTGTCGACTGTGGTAAAGTGCAGTTCATGAGATGAGGATTCCCCATGTAGCTATCTTCATCGAATGTACTGAACTGTCCAACCCTCTTAGGACATTTCCCAGATAAATTGTTGTAAACCACACTAAAAGAGGATAGATAATTCAACTCCATGAGTTGGGTAGGAATCACCCCACTCAAATTATTGTGAGAAATATCCAAAGTCTCAATCGATATTAGGCCTGAAAATGTTGGTGGAATGGGCCCTGTCAACATGTTATACGACAAATTGAGAACTTTGATGGTATCCAGATGGCCGATTTGAGGATGAATCTCGCCGAAAAATGATTGTTTGAGAAATCTAACCCCGACATTAAAATAAGAGGCTCCCCCTTGTAAATAATTTGATTGGACTTGGTCGTAAATTCTAGATCATCAATAAAATAAACCTCATCCTTCTTGGTTGTATTGCACCTCTTGCTATTGGAAGTCAATGCAGAGGAAAGACGACCAAAAAACTGATTATGAGAAACATCAATCAACTATAGTTGCCTCAAACACAGGGGTGGCAGAATTTCACCCTGCAGCTCATTGTCGTTTAATAAGAGATGAGTTAGCCGAGGCATTTCAACAATCCATGTCGGAAACGTACCCGTGAAGTGATTGTGGCCGAGATCCAACACCTGCAAGTCATAGTTCGCGTATTCTTTCTCGACATCGGAAATCCCATGATGATTATATGATCCTCCAGATAAGCTTCCTCCCAATTTATTTCTCAACAAATAAACTCCCTGCATGTAAGGAGAAATGAAATCTGGCGGCAGAGTTCCCGAAAAACTATTACTTGAAAGGTCTACGATACCGATTCGAGGCATGCTCCAAATCCTTCTTGGAATCTCACCCGAGAGCGTATTGTTTCGAGCATCTAACCACATCAACGAATAACAATTTGAGAGCTGTTCTGGAATTTTACCGGAGAGTTGATTGTTAGATAAGTATAGATACGTTATATTGGGAAGGAATGCACAAATATGAGGTGGGATGGAGCCGTAGACTTCATTATCAGAGATATCCAAAAACTCCAATCCTTTTTGGCGATGATCTTGATGATGGATTGGCAGTTGTATGGACCCCGAGAGTGAACAATTTTGGAGATTAAGGGATTTTAGGTTGGTGTTATTGGAAACCAACCACCATGGGAACCCAACACCTCCCTTCATTTTGACGTTTGAGATATCGACTACCTGCAAGTTGGTTTGATAGTAGAGAAACTTCGGGAATGAACCAAAGTAGCCACCATAATGATCATCGCTCCCCGAAGACAAAGTCAGGTAGTTCAAAAGGAAAAGCGGAGGATTATCCCGTTGGCTCGTCTCATAATGGTCATTCTTGTCTCCATAGAGCTCCTTGTTTCCGGCCCCGAAAAACAATTTGAGACGAGAATGGTTGGAAAATGGGGCCAAGGAGAGCGGTATTCGGAACCGGTTTCTGGTAATCATAATCTGTTCCAGAGATAACAGAGCCGTCAGCGGGGATTCAGCTATATCTCCCGATAGATTATTGGAATCAACGTCAATAACTCGTAGCGAGGTCATATTTGATAGACACTGCGGCAGTTCACCCGTCAGATTCGTCTCCAGGAGATACAACTTTTGAAGACGAGTTAAGTTACACACCGCTGTACAAGAAAAATTAAATGTTAGCTAGAGAAACATAAATGCAACATGGTTGATGCAAACGACATTCACCTTGCGGGAAAGTACCCGACCCAAGAGGCGAATTCCAAATCTCCAAGCTAGCAAGACCCGTCATCCTGATGCCAACCACATCAAGGAAGTTGTCGTCCATGGTCGAGCTCCATATCGTCAAATTTTCCAGAGACCCAAAACATCCTATTTCATTATATAATATGTAATCATATGATTGAAATGTTAATTGGGTTACTGTTGAATCTTAATTTTAGTAAAAGGGGTGAAAGAATCTAACCTTGGATATGATAGCCTCGTAGAGAAAGCAGAGTCAAGTCTCGGAAAGGCAGAAACAGAGAAGCATTGAGATCTGGTTTTGCTGGTGAGTTGAAATCGGACTCGTCTTGGTAACCAAGATCGAGCTCGGTCACTTTCCCTGTGGCGGGATTGCAACCAACCCCATCCCAGAGGCAACAGTCGTCGTCGTCGGAGCTGTTTGTTCGCTTTCCGCTCCAACTGCTCATATAAGGCGGATTGTTGAGCGAGTACTTGAGATGGAGGAGACTGCTTCTCTCTTGTTCCCAACAGCCATTGCAACGCTTCCATTCTGCAGCTGTAAACAGTGCCATAGTCCATACGAACCCACTTATGAACCGACCATAACACATCTTTGATCTCTCTGTTTCAAATTGTGGTGATGCTCTGTTTCAAGCCATGCTCTGTTTCAAGGTTGGGGGCTCTGTATATATACACACAGAACTTCCCCTGAAAGATGAGAATTCTGAATGAGTTCTGATTCTTTGATTCATACACTAAAAGTCAAGAGCCCTTTGGTCGGAATTGGACGATCAATTCAATTGCTGGCTGGCTGGCTGGTTGTGTGGCGCAGATTAATGCAGTAGTACAATCCCCTGTTTTCCCTTTCTTATCTTTTTGAATCGCTTCTCCTTTGCCCACTCTATTCGACTGTGACTTACCTGCGGCTGTGAGTAGGGCTGCAAATGAGCCGAGCTGCTCGCGAGCGGCTCGGCATTCGACTCGAGAAAAGCTCGTTCGAAACTCGGCTCGTTAATAAACAAGCCGAATACGAGCTCACCTTTGTTCAGCTCGTGAAGCTCGCAAGCTAGCTCGACTCGGTGGCTTGTTGAGCTAAACTCGTGAGCTGACTCGTTTAGAGCTCATGATATGTCTTAACATGTGGCTAGAGAGCCAACTCGATTACCAACTTATGGACGAATCAATCTATATCTTATGATTTTAATTCATATGGTTGTTAATTTATATATCTCACCATATATAAAGTTTTGCACGTTGAGTATGTGAGCAAATATATCTTATTTTCTACTTTAAAAAGAAATTATGCATCATAGATTGCTTCGATACAATGAAATAACATGATTTGGAGTAGTTAAAATTTATTAACTAAATGGTATATGATACCAACAAAGTATAAAGTATAAGATGAGATTAACTAACAAAATAAATCATTTGTATCATGATATACAAAATGAAGTACCAAATAAAAGTTAAGATTTTAATAAACAAGTTAGCTCGAACTCGACTCGGCTCGTTAATAAACGAGCTGAGCTCGAGCCGTTTATTAACGAGCCGAGCTCAAGTTGGGGTAAAACTCGACTCGACTCGACTCTGCTCATTTGCAGCCCTAGCTGTGAGTTCCGTTTTCTTCTTTTTCAATCCGCTGAAAACGAAAGCAAGCAAGAGAGTGAGAACAGCCAATTGATCTTCAACGCTTCTCCACACGGTAGTTTTTCCCCGGCAGGCCCATTGTTCCCATATGGCCATGAAGCCCACGCAAACGTGAAGCCCATGACGTTAAGTTTCATGGCAAAGAAGATTGGTGACTCAATGTAGACGATGTCGTGTCGTTGAAGAGTAGGATTAAGTAGTTAGGATTTAGGGTTATAGGTATAATATGCCCCTTTACTATGACGTTTTATTAAACATGCCACTCTACTATTTTTTACATCAAATATGTCTCTGTACTTTGAAAAAATTATCAAACATGCCCTTTTGTTAAAAATTTCATTGAAAAAATCGTCAATCATGGTTGAATTGAGATTTAGACAACCCGATATTGGCAAATGGGAGAGAAAATGTCAGTTGTCCCCTGTTTTATTTCACTGGGTCTTTTCAAAGTTAAATTATTTGAATGATTTGATTATACAAAAGAACAAAAAAAAATCTTAAGTGAATTTATTAGGGATATTTTAGTAATTTGTATCGCCCAAACTAAAGTCCGGCCTTGGGTTAACGGTTTTTGGATGAAATTTTTAACAAAAGGGAATGTTTGATCATTTTTACAAAGTACAGGGGCATGTTTGATGTAAAAAATAGTAGAGGGGCATGTTTGATAAAACATCATAGTAGAGGGGCATATTATACCCATAACCCTATGATTTATGATTTGTTTGGAATGGTTATCAAATTTTAATAAATGTATATGTAAACCGCATGTATTTTATCGGTTTAAAATTTCTATATCCATATTATCGTTAAGTCTTTTAAGTTTTTTCTATTCATTTGATGACTTCCATACTAAACACGTATAAAACTCGTATAACATGTTCAATATCCGTATTTAATGAATTAAATTGCTAACTTTACTATTATTTATTTTTTTAAATAATTAATTTTAATATTATTATGAATATTAACGTACTATTAAACATAACATTAGCTTAAAGATTCAACGAAAAAAAAACATTAGCTTAAAGACGAAGTAAAAATACCCATATATATTTTATACATTAATTTTCCGTACCATATTTTACTAACTATGCCTTGGATTTTCTTATTAAAGTGACTTCATATTATATTCCAGTTACTCTCAGTGAGATATTTTTATCTCAAACTGAATTTGAGATATGATATTATACCCTAACTTCTAAGCGATAGACCTCAGGTTTCGATGCTCTAAATTCAAACCCAAAGCCAAACCAAGCCAACCAATTAATGGCCTACATTCTATGCAATTGGGAGGATGAGGAAATCTGGTCCACTAAGACAAAAATTTTTTTCCACATTCCTTTCCTGCATAATTGTAGTCCAAGCATTCGGAGCCATTAATAAAATGATACATATATTTTTATAAACAAATAAATATAGAGTCTCTATAGACGGGTGAATTGTAAATTTGGTCACCCATATTACTCATTATAACACTTTAGCCATCCGAATAAAAAACCATTCAACTTAGTCACCAATACTACACGTTCATGTCATATTTGGTCATTCGCCGTCTAATTCCGTTAAGTCTGTCCTAGGTGGCAGTCAACTCCAACGTTTGACCATAAAAAAGCTGATGTGTCATTTAAAAAATAATTAATTAATTTATTTTATTTTACAGCTCACAAGTTTCAATTTATTTTAATAAAATAATAAACTTTACCAACTAACACACAAATTGCCGATCTCCTCCTATGCCGCAATTTCGCAATCGCAATCTCCGCAACCATCGTCGTCGCCCTCTCCGAGAGAAAAATAGGCAGAAAGAAACATCATGTAGAATTTGATAGCGCGGAAGATGAAAAACACACGAGAACGATTTTACGTGGTATCCTCGATCGATTGATTGATCGAGACTAATCCACGGTGAGCTCATAAGAGCTCACGGCTGATCTCTTATTAGGATTACATCTTGACGGCTTACATACGACAATCTCGTAGCTAAGCTTATATAGAGAAAGACTTAGGGTTAGAACCCTAATCCAACGATTAAGACGAGGCCCAACAAGGCCCAATACTACCACGGTTTAAGTAACCGCAACACTCCCCCTCAAGCGAAGACATGAATGACAAGAATGTCGAGCTTGAAGAAGTAAATGTGAAGAACAAGCATGATGGCTTGAACCACAAAACTCGAGATGAATAACATCCCGGACGAGGTTGATTGGAGACAACTTACTCTCTCTGAACAACCTGATGATGGAGACGGTTGACTGCGTCTCTTGAGCTGAAACACACTTGGTACAACGCGGTCGACCTGATGACTGAGTTAGTCGACCGACGTATGTTGACCTCCTATTCTCCCCCTCAAGCTGGAGCATGAACAACGTGAATGCCCAGCTTGAAAAGCGATGAATGGTTGATATGTGCCCACTAATGAACCGAAAGAGGGGACGACCATTTCTTGGATCGTGAATGCCAGCTGAACGATGAAGGGACGATTACTTCTTTGATCGTACTACCTTTTGAACGCCAGGGGACGACCATCTAATGGATCGTGAATGCCTCAATCGATGCTTGTCTATCTTTGCTAGCAAAAGCCTGCAAACAAAATAATTGACCCAAAATCTAATTGAAGAGCCATAAAACTCTTATTAAATCAGATATGGGAGCCCATAAGGGCCACTTTCGGCTATGCTTTCCGCCGGCCCAATAATAATTGGGGAAACCCTAAAATGGGTTAGCACTTAGCAATGCAGCGCCGCCACTCCTTTGTACAACGACGGAGCTTGAGATGGCGGAACGGCGGGAGACGAGAGGCAAAAGACGAGGAAGCATATCGATTGCGGATGAAACGAGACTGGTGATGGCGGGGGCTCGGATTTGAGCAGTCTCGCCTAAAGCCAACAATGATGATTAAGACGAACAAAATGGCGAATCGATCTCAATGAAGCCTCCTGGCCTCTCTCTCCAACGCGAGCAATGTGAGGATGTCGATTTCCTCTCACTGGACCCTTGACCTTTCTCTTGATGAATTGGTTGGGGCGTCCATAAACTTGACTCTTGGAAGCAAAATGCAGCAGCTTGCTACTAAAAACTCCTTGACTTAATGAAATTGACCTCGTTGCATGTCCACATTGAATTGACATCCGAGAGAGACAATGGAACCGCACAATGGGAATCCAAAACAAATTGAGCAATATGACGGAACCAATTTGAGGATACAGATCCCGACCGAACTAACTGCAAGTTAGCTGCCAACGTTGACAAGATGATGCAGACAAAAAAACCTGGGTACGAAATTCGCCGCTACCTCCTGCTTCTTGACTGCAACTGATGATGGAACGCAGAGGCTGATGGTGATGGCTACGACCGGATCTAGTGACATGGAGACTGACGGCGATGACGACGATAGCATGGGACTCATGCCGGCGGACCTGGAGACAGAAGCTTCACCGGGAAGGGTTTGCTTCTGTTTGTTGCGGATCATGGAATTGATGAAGACGACAAACGACGGCGGAAGCTCAAAATCCTAATTAAGGATCGAGTTTCGCTCTGATACCATGTAGAATTTGATAGCGCGGAAGATGAAAAACACACGAGAACGATTTTACGTGGTATCCTCGATCGATTGATTGATCGAGACTAATCCACGGTGAGCTCATAAGAGCTCACGGCTGATCTCTTATTAGGATTACATCTTGACGGCTTACATACGACAATCTCGTAGCTAAGCTTATATAGAGAAAGACTTAGGGTTAGAACCCTAATCCAACGATTAAGACGAGGCCCAACAAGGCCCAATACTACCACGGTTTAAGTAACCGCAACACATCAAAATCGACCCTTCGGAGAATCTCCTCCCAAATCTCTACAGACTCCCTTCTGTCTCTCCCTTTACAAAATCCGTCGTCGGATTGAGGAGACTGATTCTCTCTTATTCCCAACAGCCATTGCAACGCTTCCATTCCGTAGCTGTAAACAGTGCCATAGTCCACACAAACCCACTTATGAACCGACCATAACACATCTTTGATCTCTCTGTTTCAAATTGTGGTGATGCTCTGTTTCAAGCCATGCTCTGTTTCAAGGTTGGGGGCTCTGTATATATACACACAGAACTTCCCCTGAAAGATGAGAATTCTGAATGGGTTCTGATTCTTTGATTCACACACTAAAAGTCAAGAGCCCTTTGGTCGAAATTGGACGATCAATTCAATTGCTGGCTGGTTGTGTGGCGCAGATTAATGCAGTAGTACAGTCCCCTGTTTTCCCTTTCTTATATTTTTGAATCGCTTCTCCTTTCCCCACTCTATCGACTGTGACTTTTACCTGCTGCTGTGAGTTCCGTTTTCTTCTTTTCAATCAGCTGAAAACGAAAGCAAGCAAGAGAGTGAGAACATCCAATTGATCTTCAACGCTTCTCCACACGGTAGTTTTTTCCCGCCAGGCCCATTGTTCCCACCTATTTTATTCGTTTAAAATTTCTGTATCTGTATTATCCGTATTTAATGAATTAAATTGCTAACATTGCTATTATTTATTTTTTTAAATAATTAATTATAATATTATTATGAATATTAACGTACTATTAAACGTAACATTAGTTTAAAAACGAAGTAAAAATACCCGTATATATTTTATACATAAATTTTCCGTACCATATTTTACTAACTATGCCTTGGATTTCCTTATTAAAGTGACTTCATATTATAATCCAGTTACTTTCGGTGAGATATTTTTATCTCAAACTGAATTTGAGATATGATATTATACTCTAACTTCTAAGCGATAGACCTCAGGTTTCGATGCTCTAAATTCAAACCCAAACCCAAAGCCAACAATTAATGGCCTACATTCTATGCAATTGGGAGGAGGAGGAAATCTGGTCCACTAAGAGCTTTTTATTCACATTCCTTTCCTACATAATAGTAGTCCAAGCATTCGAAGCCATTAATAAAATGATACAGATATTTTTATAAACAAATAAATATAGAGGCTCTATAGACACACCTCGTATTAACATGTTGAGAATTTTGCATGGCTAAACCCTAATTGATGGGCAGGTTATCACCAGATAAAATATTCAAACAATAAAATTACCACCTTTTCGAAAAGTTTTTACTCTTCTATATTTCTCATAAATCCTAATGAATGTAGCACCATTATACATAACCTTTTCGAATTGTTGCTCCGCTTCTACAAACACCTACCAAGATTAAAAATAGGAAAACATAACAATTGAATGACATTAATACATATAGGAAATCATATTCATCCATATTCATTCCTAGCAAAGATAAATATCGATTACAGATCATTCTATCAGAGAAGGATTAGATAAACCACTCTTCATCCCTCTGTTCGTTTACAAAAGCGTCGACTAGAATCGAGGTTCCCACACCTTGTACTTGGTTGGAACTGGAAGATGATCCACCACAAAATAATAGCAAGTAGTTATGGTGACATCAATGCAATAAAACCATACTCGTCGGAAATATGGATTTATATGCAAAACACTCGCTATTACCAACAACACCATGACATAAGATACTGAGCCACTAACGTAGAAACTCTCCATGTCAATGAACCCTCTTTCTCCTTCTTCATCGCCAATATATGGTGTCGGTCTTACCAATGTATTTGGTGTCATGAATGGTAATGTGCAGTTAAGAAGAGGATTTCCTTCGAAGATATCTTCATCAAATGTACTGAATTGTGCAATCTTTTGAGGACACTTTCCAGATAAGTTGTTGCAAGCCACGCTAAAAGTGGATAGAGAGTGCAACTCCGTAATTTGAGAAGGAATCACCCCACCCAAATTATTGTGAGAAAGATCCAAACTCTCAATCTGTGATAGGTTTGCAATAGTCAGCGGGATGGGTCCTGTGAACATGTTGTAGGAAAAATTAAGAACTTTGGTGTTACCCAAGTGGCCAATTTGAGGAGGGATCTCGCCAGTGAAATTGTTGCTCGAGAAATCTAAACCATTCATATAATAGAGAGGCCACCCATGGTAAGTATATGTTTTTGTCTTTGTGACGAACTCCATATCACGCTGGGGATTATCATACGCATTCCGTCCATTGCAGTTGGTGCCGTTTGATGTGAATATTTCATAGCTGATATGACCGGACATATGATTATGAGAAACGTCAATCAACTTTGAGGTTTCCAAGCAAAATGTATCTGGAAGATCTCCATGAAACTGGTTGTCATTCAAGAAGATATAACTCAGTTGACGCAATCCACCAATCCATTTTGGGATTGTACCCATCAAATGATTGTGACTCAGATCCAAAACACCTATTGAGTATTCTGTATGATTATCAACGCCATATATCCCATCTTGATTATCCGATAGTGTTGCAGGTAAGGTTCCTTCGAGTTAATTTCTGGATAGATAAACTTCATACATCAATGGAGAAATGAAACCCGGTGGCAGATGTCCCGAAAATTTGTTCTGTGAAAGGTCTAGAATAGAGCCGGTAGACATATTCCAAATCCACCTCGGAATTTCACCAGAGAGTTGATTATTACTCACATCAAAAAAATTTCGAATGGTGAGCAATTTGATAATTGTGGTGGTATTTCACCATAGAATTCGTTATGAGATAGGGATATATGATCTATGTTGGGGAAGAAAGCACATATATCAGGTGGAATGGGACTAGGAGAGAAGTCATTGGTGGAGACATCTAATGTCTTTAAAATTTCATGAGGATGATACTCTTGATGGATTGGAATTCGAAAATGCCCTGAAATTGAACAGTTGGAGAGAAAAAGGGAGTCCAAATGTGTATTGTTAGTCACCAACCACCATGGAAATCCAACATCAGCAACACCAGTTATGTTGGAGTTTGAGAGATCAATTGACTCCAATTTGGTTTGATGGTAGAGAAATTTAGGGAATGGCCCTACATATCTACCATAACCAGGCCACGAAGATATTCAAGGGACAAGAGACGTGGGAGGGGAGAAACAGATATATCTCCAGAAAACAGATTACCGGATATAGACAAACTTTGGAGCCAAGTCAAGTTTGACAGACATTGTGGCAATTCACCCCGGCCCTCAGATGATTATCAGAGAGGTAGAGTTCCCGAAGATGCTTTAAGGTGCAAAAAGCTGCATCGATCATGGCAACACATGGTAAGAAGTATAGGTCATAGTAACAAGAAACGAACCATTAGCTAGATGATGATACCTGGAGGAATGGGGGAGCTAAGATCCGAATCTGCAACCCTCAATCGAGTAAGATTGGTCATGACGGTGGCAACTGTTTCAAGGAAGTTGTTGCATGAAATGGAGGAATCCAATATGCCCAAACTTGTCAACTTAGGCCACCCTGCATCCACGTGCAGTGATTACTACCGATCAGTATTATTATTATTATTTATATATATATATATATATATATATATTATTAATTCACAAGTTAAACTACTGTTGCATACGAAATTATCGCTTCCCCTCGAGTCACTGTTCATAAAGCCTAATCCCCTGTGATTAGACCCATAATATTGCAACCTACCGACAAAAAAATCTCCTAAACACTTCTGGAAGCTTCAAAGCAATTATGCATTAGGTTGGCCAATATATATTCCTGGACTCTTCAAGACCTTTTGCATTTGGTTGGCCAATCTATATTATTAATCTGCAAGTATATATTATATATTGGGTGGTCAATGTATTTTATATATGGTTCAGGTGTACGTCTTATTTTATTGTAAGTCCGTCGAATTTTATTATTTTGTTAGAAACCAATTTCTGTAGGGTTTCTCTATTTATTAATATAATTATTATTAGGGTAATTATCAATAAGATTAGTAGTCATTTAATAGAATTAGGTTTATTGTTAGGGTTTTCCACTATTTCCTATATATATGTACTTTGGGCTTCCATTCAGAATCGATAAGAAGCATATTAAGAAAATTCTTAAACCCCATTCTCCCCCAAATCCTCTCAATTTCTCTTATTTCCCTAATCCGGCCGCCGGCCATTCTTTCTTGTTCTTCCCCAAATTCTACCTCTTAATCCCTAATTATATTCTTCAAATCCCTAAATCCCCAATTATCAAACCCGTTAGAAACTTTGTTTCTAACATATGTAGAGCATAAATCAATCGGAATTTGGAGCATGAGATTATATCCTAACTTTTAATGGGTGAACTTCAATCCCCAATTCTCTAACTCAAACCAGAAGATTCATTCAATCTTTATATGAAAATCAATGATACGTCAAAATTATCAAAGTACAAATAATAAATATGAACGCTGGTGTATAGCGTACGTCAGACAGACGTATACTAGTATTTGCCATTATATATTGGGTACGCCAATTATATTCTAGACACTTCCAAACAATTTTGCATTGGTTGGCCAATATGCTACATTTAAAAGCCGAAGAATATTAAGTAACATAGGAATAGTATTAATTTTGTACTCCAATACCAAATCTCACCATAAGCTTTCCCTTCCTTCTTAAAGGTCCTATTCCCGATATTTGTATCCCCTACACCCAATTTCATTTTAAGTTGTTTTTCTCTCATGGCCTAATTATAATGAAACTTGATATTTTTCATCATAACTTAATTTCGGTATAACTAAAGTATTCACCATCTTATTAATTTGCATTACACAAAGATTTCTTAAGATCAGTTAACTTTTACATGACAATTCAATCGAGTGTGATACATTTCATAAGTTAAATTTATTATTAGGACCACATGTTACAGAAGATTTATGTAAAGTTTTTCTATAAAAGTAATGTAAATTAAAATTATATAATGTAAAGTTTATAGAGGAATAATTATTTCTTATGCATTAATTAAAAAATACAGTATGCAAGTAATCTTTAATTTTAAGACACTACGCTTCGGTGATGAATGGATTGTTATTCTTATGTATCAATTAAAAAGGCATACGATGTAAGTCTTCTATAACATAAGTTTCAACGAAAACTCATTTATTATTAACTAAACTATTCGCCTTCTCATCAATTTATATTATAGAATGGTCATGTAAGGTTAGTTATAACTTCTATATAACAGTTTAATCAAATATAATAATTTTCATAATTTGATTTTATTAGACCATATATTAAGGAAAATTACTCGCTCTGTAATAGTTACGTAAATTATAAATACATTACTCAACTCTGAATGTGGCCATAATACATAAAATTTTGAACTTTAATTGGTAGTATTAGTCTAATATGATGATATAACATAGAATCACAACTAATCAATCCATTATCCTAACCCCTTAACATTCAATTTTGAATCTCAACCCAAAACCCCAAATTGTAAACCTAAACCCTAACCCTAAATTCCCATAATACATAAAATTTTGAACTTTAATTGGTAGTATTAGTCTAATATGATGATATAACATAGAATCACAACTAATCAATCCATTATCCTAACCCCTTAACATTCAATTTTGAATCTCAACCCAAAACCCCAAATTGTAAACCTAAACCCTAACCCTAAATTCCTAAATTCTCAAAATTAAAGTAACTCTTTGAATGATTTTTTTTTTTGAAAATTCATGTGTTTCCTGTTCATAATATCATAAGCAACGATCAATACCGTTTTGACATGAATCACATGCTCGGAATGACGATTATGAGGCGAGTGCATTGAATGCATCCAAAAAAGTGGGTGCACCGAAGACGCCACTATATATATTAAACTAAAATGTTACATAATTTTCTATACTGATTAAGTTACTACTGGAGTCTTATGAAGAGATAATGATTTCTTATGCATAAATATACGTATTACACAAATATTTTATAATTAGTAAGATGCTACGTAAAACTTATGATAGTGCCTTATCCGAACTATTTGTTAAATTATTTGATTTCACATAAATAGTTAAATGACGATATAAAATTGTAAATATAATTTGCTTCTTATCGCTGCGAAGAAAACTAGTAACTAGAATGCTGACAAATTAAAAGTATGGCTGGTTAATTAGATGAAAGGAGCTCTAACCTTGATTCTCGACGCAGCCAGGGATATGATAGCCTCGTAGAGAAAGCTCCCTCAAGTCTTGGAAAGGCAAAAACAGAGAAGCATTGATATCCCGTTTTGCTGGTAAGTTGAAATCAGAATTGTAGGGATAACCAGGATCAAGCATGAGCTCCGTCACTTTCCCTGTGTCGAAATCGCAACCAACTCCATACCAGTTGCAACAGTCGTCGTCGTCGTCGTCGGAACTGTTTGTTCCCGTTCCGCTCCAACTGCTGATATAAGGCGGATTGTTGAGCGAGGCTTTGATTCGGAGGAGACCGATTCTTTCTCGTTCCCAACAGCCATTGCAGCTCTTCCATTCCGCAACTGTAAACAGTGCCACAGCCCATATGAACCAACCATAACGCGCCTTTGATCCTCCTGCACTCATTTCCGGAACTTATTGATTTGGTCTCTCTGGTTGAAATCACTACACGCTGAATTGGATCCTTACTTACTTGGGGTCTCTCTCTTTATATTGAATCGCACGACCTTCACTTCAGGGGTAATTAAGGTATAGCTCTAGGCTCTAGCCTCTCTTAAGTCAAAGTCAAGTTTCCTGCTGACCAATGCGGTCAAAATTGCGATTTAAAGTTTAAAAATTTATACTTTCATGTTACCAAGACTCTTCCACGTTAAATTGCTCTTTGTCTTAATTTACAAGTGTAGTTAAAATCTACGCATTAGAGTTTAAAAACTTACAATTTTACGTTTCCAGATTACCCACACACTTTTACGTAGAATCATGCTTTTGATAGTATTACTGCTTACTTACTTAGTTAATTGACATGACATGATGCTTTAATTATCACTAGTTAGGAAAGCCCGCGCTCCGCGACGGGCGAAAATTTGTGATATGTGACGCACTACATATAGTAATTTTCCTGAACGGGTACAATTAGTGCAAGCAAACACATTAACGACCCCTTTGGTTGACATAATCATACAGAGATCTGAAAGGTCTCCGAAAATTGTGCAAACTCATGAGAGTGATAGAACAGTAGGTCATAAAAGAAAAGAAATATGTCTTGTTGGCTGTTGCTCAAATTTGCAGGCTCATATAGTTTATGCCAAAGATTACAACTTGTGAGCTTCATTTATGCATGTCATGGTAAAGTTGAAGCACAAAGTAAAACTGTGTAAATTTCTGGCAAAAAAGTGAAGACCTAACTGGATATCATGAAACATAAACATTGCTGGCCATTTAGAAGTTGTGTTGCAGCATTTGAACCAATTATGATTTATATCATGACACATTCAAGCCCAAACATCAATTAGCATTCATCTTTAAAAAACAGACGCCAATCATCACAATGTATGGATTTGAAGCAAAGGGAAACAACTTATCAGTTAAGACAATCAATGCAGTGATTGCGGTCGTCCTTTTCACGACCTGACCTGAAGTAGAGATCTCAAGTAAGCAGAAACAATTTTCACATCATCCTTTGGAAAGAAAGTCTCTCCTATCGATAAACACAACCATTAGCTTTCAGCAAAGAAATCCCTCCCATAGATAAATGACATCTTCATTCAATTATAATTCATTCCATTGCACACTTTGACTTATGATGAGAATGTTAGAAGTACCAATCTCAACGACAACAGGATACGAAACACTATTTTTGCCTAAACTTACTTATAATGCAACGCTCGTGCCAAGGAAAAAAAAACACACGAAGCCAAATTCTACAGCATGATTACGATCTCAAAAGTTAACCAAACCACCTAGCCGCCTTCCCATATTTTCTGCTGCAATATTCAACACAACTCATCTCCTATAATTTTGCCCCTCATCAACAAAAACAATATGGATCATCATCCTGTGCAACCAAAGAAAGTATGAATAATCAGATGAGGAATTTCTATGATTGATATGCAAAAGCGTACAACAAAGGAAAATTGGAATCAAACAAAACAATATGGTTCAAGTCCAGTCATTAATTTGTATATTGTGGCTTCCTCACTGAAAGCAACCAAACAAAAAAAAAAAGAGTAAAGAAATGAGGGGCTTCTCACGCATGGCGAACTAATGTGTTGTAGTGTTCTTCTTGTTCATTAAGGAGCTAAAGAGCGTAGAGCTAGACCCCTGAACTTCCTAAAGTATCGGTCACAGTCTATTGCTATCATTGCCTCTCATGGCAACATAATCAAAATTATAGTTCTGCAGGAAAGTTCTCCACTGTCAGGTGTAGCTGTAGTTTAGCAAAAGAGAGGATCATGAATTAGATTCCCAAAACAGCTTAGCAAACCCAAAAAATAAAGTTGGAACCATGGGATATTTTTTGTAAACTTTACGATGGTTTGCCAAGCCTGATTTGTACCCGGATCCTTCCGAGCATAAAGGTGAAACAAAATCAATGTAAGCAACCACTTAACCCATACATAACAGAAGCCAAATTTCTATAAACGACAACCTTTTTATTTTGAAAACCTGATAGCACATGGTAATGGTAGGAGAGCACACAGTAAACATCAGTTGTGTATAACAAAATACTCACACCAAGTTGCTGGTACTGGTAGGAGAACAAAAAACTATGGCAATTTCTCATCTTGGTAGCTGGTTTGGCAGCAATCATGCAAGGAACACAATGAACACACCTTTTTATTGGCCTAAGCATCTGCAATATAGTTGCTTGACGGTGGGTCAGTTTCCCAACGGCACAACACTCACCATCAGGAAACCACAAGAAAGACTAACTCAATCACAAGCCAAAGGCAAAATATGGGAAGCATAAAGGGATGAGAAGGTATGACCAAAACACATCCAGATTCATGGAAAGAAAGAAAAAGTTCGTAGCATACTTGAACAAAGATCAAATCAACTTAAAACATAAGACAAAGGAGAGGGAACATAAATGAATAGATGGGATCATCCCGTTCAGCGACACTGAATAAGAGTCTCGCCGAGGAAGTGACTTGTTTCATACCTGAACCATCTGCATGACATTTTAGAGATCTTTTCCATCGTTAGCGGCACCATGTGACCAAGGCCATTTCGTAAAACAATCTGAGGCACCAAAGATCGGAAAGGCACAACAAAGGTATTCTAGTTGTAAGAAATGGTTCAGATAATTGAGCATGCAACAGGAGGGAAACTCGTATATCCCATAAGACACCACTCCATCACTATTAAGAGGGCAACTAATAGTTGAGAAATTTAAAATCACGGTCCTTTCTGAAACTGTCAATACATGAACCTAGCCCCTAAATGTTTCTGAAATGACCTGAAGCTTCATTGTAAACTTGGTTTCAATAATGTACCAAAGCAACTTGAAGAAGAGGTTGGCAGATCTAGGACATACAGGCAGCAGGCAGCTCATGTATATAAATCAACCTTTATTAGGATATCTAAATGACCTATACTAACATCCTTAAATGTCATTGAAGAAGCGATAAGGTGACAGCGACAGAAACTACAAATTCAAAATAAGAGGCATGTATATAACAGACCCCAAAACCTGATAACTTCATGCTGGCCACCTCGCTTGAGGTGTAAAGGTTGAGTACGACCTCAAATGCAAATGTCTGGAATATTAAGTCTTCTAGATGTTTGACGGCAGACTCAGCAAGGCCAGTGTGAAGTGTCATCTGTAGTAATGCAGGCGCTGCATCGTGGCTGAGAAGAAAGCAGCAGGAGTGCGTCTCGTCCTGTACTATGATGGAGATGTAAAAGCTGTGAACACAAGCATAAAAGTTGGTTAACAAAGAGCACTACCCCACCTTCTTATCTAAGTTCGTTGTTTATTTCTTCAAATGGATTCCACTGTGATGATGACGTCCTTTTTCACTCAACTATATCAGAAAAGTAAAGCAAAGTACTTTCCTCGGACTCTCTCTATTATGCGTTTTTTCTTCAAAAGGATACAACTGAGCAAATTCCTGGCCTGCCATTTGCAGTTACTGAAGTTCCTCATGATGGTCGAACCTAATGCCTTGTGTGGTGGCAAAGTCCTTTCAGGAAACCACAAGGTTGAAGCTGCACCAATATCACCAGTAGGTTAGTGTGTGAGGAAAACTTATACCTGGAACTATAAATATGTGCGCAATTGTGATTTCTTAGGACTATTTGGCTACCTAATAGGACATGATCAAATTGGGGAAGCACCAATATCAATTAGGAACCTATTCCTCTTAGTTTTACCCTGCTAATGAAAATCAGGACCCACTTATCACCCAAAAAACTGCTCTTCATTTGCCATACTAAATTCCTGTCATAGTTCCACCAGAGAACTAAAATACCAAATGGTAAAGTTAAATATATCAATACATCAAACCAATATAATGTAATGAGAAGGAAAACGAATGCAAGCTGAAGATGGTTCAATCTGGAGCAACAAATCAACAAACCCAATTACATAGGTGGGGAAAAAAGCAAATCATATTTCAACAGAGGTAAACTAAAAGATCATCCTTGTAAAGTGCCAGACAACAACTCCATTTGAGGCTTCCATAAGTGCTAGCATGGATGAGGAACACTGATTGCATATAAGAGAATTGGTTTTCTAAAGGGCTTGTCAAATGGAGAACTAATAACAGGGTCCAACTTATATAACACTCTAAAAAAATTGTTGAAATTCCACCATACACATGTTAATTTCCTATTTTATATATTTTTTTTGTGTGTGTGTGTGAATTATAAGAAAAACAGCAGCCTAGAATCTAGATAGAATTAGTAGCATATATAAATACATATCACCCAGTCAGATAATATAATCAAGCTGCTAATGAACCTGAATGAAAAGGGAAACCTGATGAAAAGATGGTGGAAACAGAGATATATGCTTAATTATGTATTGAACGATAAGTGATGCACATCAAGTATAGGAAAAACTCACATAAGATGCTACGTAACTTAGCTCTAAAAAATCATGAAAAAGAGCAAACAGTTTGACCTGACTGTGTCCCTTTGTAGCAAAATCCAAGTTAACACCCAAAACAAAGATAAATAAACACGTATGATGGCATAAACAGCTATAGGAAGATGACACCGCCGAAGGAGAAAGAAAAGGAACCAGTCCTCAAGTATTGATTCAGGAACCCAATTAAAGCCTTCGAATCATAAACTGGAACTAAAATAAAGATTTGAGTTATAACATTGTAGTTATAAACATAATCAGTTTCAACAGAAATGCAGAATACATGGCTAGCTCTAACATGGCTTAGAATGATAGTGGGAAAAGCAAGAGGAATGGAGTCTGAAGATTATTTTCACCATGAAGTAGTGGCCAAGAAAACGTGATATTACAGAACACACGACTGGCGAAGCAATTATGCTCTAAAACGAAACTAAAATGGAAGGAGACCTGATTGCATCAAGGCAGGCTGCTGGAACAACACAGAATACTGCAAGCTCAACGTTTCTGGTCCCACAACATCCTCTTGCTTCCTCTTCAAACACTACAAAGACAAACCAGAAATGGAGTTAAATCATATCAACATGGTCGAAAAACTAACAAAAAACATATGTTATTACCATATGGAGCTTGGTTCTAGAGAGGCAGCACAGGTTCTGAGAAGCTAACAATCTTTGCTCCTTGAGGAAGCTTTTCATTCAGGGAAGAAAGGGCTGAAGAGAGCTTAGAGTTGAAGAGCTTGACAACTTCATGCAACTCTTTTTCTACGCAATTCCACTGTGGTAGTATCCTGCCAGCAGCAGCAACCATATGGAGAGGGAAACAACTTATTGAAGCTTTACCCACCGCCTCAATTTTCTTCCGCCCGTAGAGTTCCAATATTGTAATGAGAGCAGACAACAACAAACGAAAAACATCTTTTAAAAGCACAATAACGACCATTGAGATTTGACAAAATGAACACATGATTACAAATGGATCTACTCCACATTCCCAATCCATCCGGCAAACAAACAATGATGGTCTGCATCTTATAAAATATGACCGAAGAAGCAAAGGATCAACAATGCAGCAAGACAACTTGAAATATGGTAGAATTCACCAGATGAGCATTTTTTGCTTCAAAATATAGTTACATGACCTTGTCTTTACTCAAGGTCTGAAGATGCAATTTCCTCTCCCGCTCCAGAATCCTTGGGCAGGGAAAACGCACCCACTCCCTGAGAAAGGACCATCAGCAACGTGACTCATGCGACATACCCTTAAACACTAATGTACAACCCAATAGAAGTAGATGGTAGATCAACAGAACTGAAGGCAGAAATCAGGCTAGCAAACAGTACAATGGGTAAAGTAATTTTTCGTCACACATTCCAATATATGCTAGCCAAACTCACACATGCAACATTCAATACTACAAACTATAAGGCAGAAGTCCCTAAAGTCCAATATCCTCCCTACTCCATCTCAAAAAGGTCAAAGATCAAGAAAGCTGGCATTCAAAATTAGAGTCAGAGATTCATAAGAAAGCAAAGAATCCAATGACAAGACTGATGAGTAAATAGAAAGGCTCTTAAGCCTCACCTCCTTACTCTAAATACACACAATTCATCCCCTACTTTCTCACTGGCGCACAACAAGCAGTAGTGCCCCTCTGGATTCCCCGGTTTTTCTTTAGAGAGAAGACATTGATGAACTTTGACACTCCAATCTGGTCCATCGGAACAGCCATTGTTCTCTGCACCTCACTAAATCCTCCGTCCAGGACCCTTCTCTCACTATGCTACGCTGCAAACTTGCACCGATCGCCCCAAACAGGTAGCAACACATCCGTTGATCAAAATTGGTTCCACTCGAACTCATGAAAATTAAATATTCAACTCCAACATAAAAGCAGAAATAACTTGGAATTTAGATTGCCATATCTAAATGAGTTTGGAAGCCATGGTTGAAGCAGAGATTACCCGGCATAAGCAGGAGAGATCTCCATGGACAAACAACGGTGCAATCCTTCTGAACGATGAAATCCACAAACCGGTGAAAGGAAGCTCACACGAAGCTAAAAAATCACAGTTCCAGGAGATCTTTTCGGATTTCTCCTTCACCATGGGTGTCGCCGACGACAGGCTGAAAACCAAAAGGAAAAAGCAAGAAAGGGTGAGAAATTTCTTGGGCATCACTCGTCAACACAAAAAAGCATAACGATGGAGGAGATTTCCGTCACTACCGCCGTTATTATGCTGCCAAAACACAGCTGTTGGTCCCAAAAAGTATTGAAAAGTAACGTACTAAGAGAGAAGCACATGTCCCTCTTCCTTCCTTCTCCTCGACTTGTTCCTCTTCTTGACAATTCTTCTTCTTCTTCTCCCTCCTCCTCCGCTCCTTCTTCTTCACTATCTTCCAGCGAGAGAGAAAACACAGGAGATCTGTTAGGTCACACCAGCAAAACTTATTGATAAAAAATGACATATATCAATCAAATCGCCAAACAAAAGAAAAGGGAGGACAAAGTGAGAATGAAATAGAAGCGAAACTAATATTGATCAGAGAAGATGAGTAAAAAGAGAGAAGCCGATCTACGAAGCAGACTTACTGGCATCGTTCATTCCGCTGCTACAAGCCAGAAGGTAGCGAGAGACCTGGAGACGGCCAGTCGGATCCGGAGCAAAAGGCAAACTGATCAGGTGGAGACATCAATCAAAGTGAAAAATGGTACACCAGAGAAGTTGACCAAAAGGAGAAGAAGAAAGTCGAAAGAAGGGGAGTTAGACACCCAAATGAAATAATTCAGGCGACAAACCTTCCCGTCGCCGCCATCGACGTTCACATCGTTCTCCTTCCCTCTTCCTGATCGAGAACTCATAAATAAAACAATAAGCATCAAAACAAATACGAGTTACAAATATCTAAAAAAGGCAAACGCCTCTTACCTAAGTCGCCGGAACTATCACTGGCGTCCATGGCAGACCTTCCCGTCCCGCCATCACCGGCTTTCCCCTCGCTGCCATCGACGGCCTTGATCGGATCTCCTTCCTCCTCCTCCTTCTTCTGACTTCTCTCTCCCTGTTTTCTTCTTCTTCAACAGAGAGGAGACTGGTTGTGGCTGGGATTCGGATCTCCTTCCTCCTCCTCCTTCTGACTTGACATGAGAGTCTTCTCTCTCCCTGTTTTCTTCTTCTTCAACAGAGAGGAGACTGGGTGTGGCTGGGATTTTGGAACAGAAAGAAATTGGGTGGGAGATTGGGAGTTACGGGAGAGAGAAGGAGATTAGTGGATGAGAGAATGAGAGAGAGGCAAAATGCAGGAGAACAAAAGAATAAGGAGGGGAACAGAGAGAGATATGAGGGATCAAACATGGCGCCTCAAAACAAGGGAAGCAGAGGGCTCGAAAAGCGATGAAGTAAAAGTAGAGGGAAGACTAATGAAACGACGGCTAGAGAGGCAGAGAAGCGATTTTCTCCGAATTGAAGCGACGGGAGCCGCCTGTCCATGTCAGAAGAAGAGCCAATCCAAAATGCGAAGAAAAGGCAAACAAAGCAAACCAAGTCACAGTGTTTGGATGTGACTCTTAAAAACAGTGCAGTAGAACTTGTTCTTTTAATAGAAGAAAATGCGTCTGCCTTCCGTTCCTCTCTTTTGTGGTTGTGGATCTCCCACCAAGGGGCATCCCGCACCCGTATGATTTGGGTTCACTTTGCTCATTCGTAATTGCGGGCCCTCATTTTCCACAAGTGCAGCCAAATGAAGAAAAAAATGGAATGAAAATGAATTTGGTCCTTCTTTATTTCCCCTTTGTTTTGGTCCGGTCCTATATCTCAATTCGATTCTGTTTCGGACCGAATCGACCATCCCTAAACCCAGGGAAAATTCCGTCAAGCAGGCCAAATTAAAACAAAACGAGATTTGCTAGTCCCTCAAAATGGAAACTGAAAAGTCCTTATCGATTTTGATTTTTTTTGCCATAGATAGAATAGTAATAGATAGTTGATTACAATGGATTGAAAAGTAAAAGCGACAGTCAATACTAATTGAGCTGTCGATGAAAGAGCCGTTTTTGCCACGCAATGGGCAGCTCTGTTAGTTCCTAAGAAAAAAGTGAAGGAAACCACTCAAACCATCGAAAGGATACAACTTCATGATAAGTGCGACGCCAACTTGATCCGGTGAAGAAGCATGACTCAAAAGGATAACCTCCACGACAGCATCCCAAAATTCGATTTAGCAATAGCAACACCACAAAGCCAATGATGCCTCCCCTATTTCTTAGCAGTGCTCCATCAAATCTCATCAAAAGGCCACCTGGTGGACATGACAGAGCTGCCACCAATCGATTATTTTGCAATTGAATCTTCACCTGCAAAATGAACAAACAAAAAGGCCTCTGCAAGGACAATCCAGGCCAATGAGCCAACAGGCCAACATGTACACAAGGCAACTTTCTCCCTTGAAAAAGTGAACCAGGTCATCGGGAAACCATAGATAACCAACATTGGTTACAAACCTTTTTTTTTAATAAAAGACTACAAACCTAAACTTGAAAAGAACTTCATCCTTGAGAATATGACTAGGAAAATTGATGCAGAAATTGAAAAAGAAATAATAAAAGAAGCATATAGTTATACAAGATAAAATATAACTAGTAATATTGATGCAATAATAGATGAATAACGATACTAGACATAGAAAAGAAAACAAATAAATAAAGATACAAATAAAATTAATAAATGAGGGAGGATAATTAACAAAAGAAAACAAATAAATATTACTAATGAATAAGAAAATTGAATAGGTAAGAATACTTAGCTTAACCGTTGCCCGGTGGTATCGCCACACCGCCCCGGACCGGTAACCGTCGCGTCGGTGCGTCGGTAGGCACACACAACATCGCCCAATTCGGCTGCTACTGCTCTGCCGCCACACGGCTTTGCGATCCGGTCACCAACGGCGTCGTCCTCCGGATTCATCTGGTTCAATCACACCACACAACACGCCGCGGAGACGGCATCGTTTTGTTCCCCTGAGTCGCACCTCCTCCCCGCGACGTCAGCAATGGTGGCGAGGATAAGACGCTCTCTGATCCTCGCCGGGCCGTGTCGCGCCTGTCTGGACGCTCCTGGCGCCTTGCCTCAACGCTCCTGCAAACCTAAACCTGCAATAATCGACGATGACTTGACCGTCGATGACGTCAACAACACAACGACGAAATAGACGGTTACTATTTCTGTCCAAGTAATCCGGACAATCTTGGAAACCACTACGTCGAGGAGGACGGCAAGATGCCTCGCCCATAACCGAGATGGTCTTCCCTTCCTGGCGCCAATTTTTTCACCCTCCCCTTCCTCTCTCAACCCCTCCTCCCTTCTTCCACCGGATTTCATTCCTCACACCGCCTCCGGTCTCCCCTCCGCCGCCTGCTCCTCAGGCCGCCTCATCTGCCTGAACGATTTCGTTTCATTTGTGGAAAAAGAACAAAAGGTCCCTTATCGATTTTGATTAGGTATGAATGAACCGATAACCGAATGGTCCCCCGCTTAATTATACCGTTCGCAGACCCGGCCCAGACCCTGTGCTGGTCTGACCCACAGCACAGGGCCTCAACTATTTGGGGCCTCATATTTCACTAAGTCTCATGGGCCGAAATTGGATGGTCAAATTGTGTCTTATTCTTTAACGGGCCACTTAACAGAAGCCTGACCCATTGTTTTCAATCTTCTTAAAAAAATATGGCCTTTTAAATTTTGGCCCATGGCACATTAGCCTCCCTCATCAATTAGCCCATCCACGTCAACATTTGTTTCTCTCTTATCTCTAGAAAAAATAACTGTCTACTACAATAACTCATGCATCACTTCACTTAGTTTTTAATTAAATAAATAATTATCCCTTTTTCTTGGATAAACTTCTCCAATTCGACCAAAAAAATAAACTTCTCCGTATACCTCTCGAACTCCCACAATTTGCGAGAGAGGTTCACTTTTTTCTTTAATATGTAGTTCTTTTTTATAATTTATAATTTGGAGTTCTTTCAAATTTAATTTTTAGTTCATGTATCATTTGCATGCTAAATAAAGCAACGTACAAAATATATAACGAAACAATTAAAGAAAACTTCGTAATGATATGGCAAATTATTAATTTCATTTCTAAATTTTTACCAAAGTTTCATTCCTAATGTTCAAATGTATTTTTTCTATGACATTGTTAAAATGTACTAAAGGGGGTTTTAGAGAAAACTCTTATCAATATTCATAAGAAAAACTCTTATCAACGTAAGCTTTGCTACCACTCACGGTGAATTCCATTTTTAATTCTTTTTTAATTGGTTGCATTTGTTTTCCTTTCTATTTGTACGAGTGTGATAGGTATAAATCTTGTGTAATTATTATTATTATTTAATAATTTTAAAAAAATTTGCGAGCAAAATTTTTAGAGCCACATTAAAAAAAAAAATCGAACAGGGCCTCCAAATATCATAGGCCGGCCCTGACCGTTCGCCATGTTGTGCTTTCAGTTTTCCTTTTCTTATTGGTTTTTCGACTTAAACCAAAACCATTAAGTTACAAAACGATTTGAAATCAAGAAACTGAAACTATCAAACTTCTTACCGGTTTGGTTTCAGTTCAAACCGAAAAACCGATGCTCCTAATCAGGGGCGGAGCCAAAATGTGAGGAGGGGGTTCCATGGCACCCCCTTGCATATCTGAATTTTCCACAAGTGCATCTTGAACTGTGGGGTTAAATGCTAATTTGATATTTAATTGTAAATTAGCATCATATGCTTCTTGAGACAATGGTTTAATTGGGGTTGAGAGGATTGAGCACTTGACCTCAATGACAAATTAACTCTGATATCATGTCACAAATGAACCAATATGAATAATTCAAAATGTCTGGAAGAGGCCCCATGCATGTATGATATTTAACCAATTTCTTACACGGTAAACAGCAGCACAACTTGTAGAATTGCAGTGAACCAATTAGAACATACCTTGCATGATCATCTCCCCAATTTGTATGCCTTGTATGAACCAATTATATATTTGCAAACGAGCATCATACGCTTTCTAAGACAACGGTTGATATTCGGAGTCGTGAGAATTGAACACGAGACATCAATGACAAATTAGCTCTGATGTTATAGCTATATCATAAATGAACTAATCCGAATAACTCGATCGACATGCTGGAACAGATCCCAATATATGATACTTGTGTCTTTCTTTCTGTCCCTCTACTTGAGAATCGAAGATGTTCTTACTTGGGTTCTCGTCTATACATCTCTAAGTCGTCGTCCGTCGATCGGCGGCGTAGTGGATTCCTCGAGTCAAAGTCTCCGACTGATCTCTTTTTGCGTCCTTGTCCTCTTGTTCGATCGCATGGTTGTGAATTTGCCACCATTTATATATGGGCATTCTGCGTGTGTTTTGGGGCCTCATCCAATAATCTCTGCCATGCCTCAATTTTCCACGAAGAATGCATTTTCTTCCACAAGACAGAACCGTGCATTTTGGATTGCATGCATGCAGGGGCAAAATACTACATGTATGTATGTATAGCTAGGTATCTACAATAGACTGGCTCATGGCCCTATGCAAAACTCATCACCATAGCCCATAAGCCTTATTCCAACACTATCGGCCCATTAGGCCCGTAAATTTGCCACCACCAATTTAGGATTGACAATTTCAACCCACCTCGCCTGCTATTACCCAATCCGATTCACGATGGGTCGGGTATTACCCAACCTGCAATAGTGTAGGACAAGCCATGGATATTTACTTCCGACTCAACCTGTTCCATCTCGCTCCATTCTTTGTCCATTCTATCTCAATTTATTACAATCTATATTTATATTTCTCTTATTTTGACTTTTCTTTAACTAATTAGACTTCATCTTTCAAATAGTGAGACTCACTTACCCCATCAGTTATCACTATTTTTCATTCCTAAATTTTTTCATTCCATCCATTCGCTTTCCTCTTGTATTTGCTTGACTCGTAGTTTACTTATGCTTCATGATGCTATGCATACTTAAACGTAAAGACTGAACGTAAACAACTTTAACTTAATATGAAAGCATTTAAGGAGTGACTTAACATAAAACAAGAACTGAAATGCATAACATAAACGTAAATGCATGATAACGAAAACTACTCTAACCTCCTTTAACAACGCACCTTACTTATTCGAGTCCCAAAGTTGACTCAACCCCGTTCCTCGTCGTGCATCTAACAGCCCGTTGATGCCCAAAACTCCTCTTCGTGCATCTAACCTTTCGATTTAGTCGCCATTTTCAACCTCTTAATTCAGCCGCAACATTTATGAGGAAGCCGTTGGTTAACTACCAAAGAAGAGTTCTTAATTTGGTTCACGTGCGAAGATAGGTGTCAATGTCAATTGGTTGACTCGACGAAGCTATCACTGCACCATTGACCCATCATCGGCGGCGAGAGAGATGCAGCTATTGCTCTCTTCCCATTAGGGTTTCGTTTAGGGCAGTATAGGAAATTTATAATTAAAGAAGAGTCGGGGTATTATTACATCATCCATATATATATATATATATAAAAGAATAATGGATACATAAATGAGATCATTCACTGATGAGAACTATCAATGACAATTATTCAATCAACATATCATGATCATATAATCACTGCTCCTGCTATATATGTTGTTCGCAGAACCACCATCAACTATTGGCTAGACACGAAGTTCCCACACTTTGTACCTCGTCGGTACTGGAAGATGGTCCACAACAAAATAGTAGCAAGTAGTTATGGTGACTCCAACGTAATAAAACCACACCTGCCGCCAGTACGGATTGATGTAGAGAACACTCGCAATTGTCAGCAGCACCATGACAAAAGACACTCCACTGCTTGCGTAGAAGCTCCCCATGTCAATGTAGCATCCGTCTTCATCATTATCATCGTCATCGGTGGGCGTCTGCTTGACAGGCGGTTTTCGTGTCGACTGTGACGAAGTGCAGTTGACAAGAAGAGGATTCCCCCAATAGATATCTTCATTGAATGTAGCAAACTGTCCAATCCTCTTAGGACATCTACCAGATAAATTGTTGTAAGCCACGTTAAAAGAAGATAGAGAATTCAACTCTGTGAGTTGAGTAGGAATCACCCCGCTCAAATCATTGTGAGAAAGATCCAAACTCTCAATCTGTGATAGGTTTGCAATAGTCGTCGGGATGTGTCCTGTGAACAGGTTGTAGGAAAAATTAAGAGTATTGGTGTCACCCAGGTGGCCGATTTGAGGAGGGATCTCTCCGGTAAAATTGTTGCTCGAGAAATCTAAACCATTGATCAAATATAGAGGCATCCCCTGGTAAGTATATAATCTTGTCTTTGTGACGAACTCCAGATCACGCTGAGGATCATCATCATATGCATTCCGTGCATTACAGTTGATGCCATTTGATGTGAATATATCATAGTCGATATGACCGGACAGATAGTTGTGAGAAACATCAATCAACTTTGAGGTTTCTAAGCAAAATGTACCCGGGAGCTCTCCATGAAACTGGTTGTCATTCAAGAAGATATAACTCAGTTGACGCAATCAACCAATCCATTTTGGAATTGTACCCATCAAACGATTGTGACTGAGATCCAAGACCCCTATTAAGTAGTTTGTATAATTATCAGCACCAGACATCCCATCTTGATTATCCGATAGTGTTGCTGGCAAGGTTCCTTCCAGCTGATTTCTCGACAGATAAACTTCTTTCATCAATGGCGAAATGAAACCTGGTGGCAGATGACCCGAAAATTTGTTCTTGGACAAGTCTATGATGGAGTTGGCAGACATATTCCAAATCCATCTCGGAATTTCACCCGAGAGTTGATTATTCCTGGCATCTAATAATCTGAATGATGAACAATTTGACAAATAATGTGATGGTATTTCACCATAGAATTTATTATCAGATAAAGATAGATAATCTAAGTTGGGGAAGAAGGCGCATATATCAGGTGGGATGGGGCCAGGAAAGAATTCATTGGTGGAGATGTATAATTCTCTCAAATTTTCATGAGGAGGGTACTGCTGTTGTTGATGGATTGGGATTTGAAAATGCCCTGAAAGTGAACAATTGGAGAGATAAAGAAACTCCAAATGTGTATTGTTAGTCAACAACCACCATGGGAACCCAGCAGCAACTCCAGTTATGTTGACGTTTGTGATACAAACTGACTCCAACTTGGTTTGATGGTAGAGAAACTTAGGGAAGGAGCCAACATATCCACCACCATAGCCAGGCTGCTGATATAATTCCAAATCTCTTAGCTGGAAAAGCAGTGCACCCTGCTGCAGAACCATATCAAGATGGTCGTCTCCGTAAATTTCTTGGTTATAACCTCCGTAGAAATATTGAAGACGAGAGTGGTTGAAAAATGGGAACAGAGAGATTGGAATCCGGAATTGATTATCGGAAATGTCAATCTCTTTGAGGGACAAGAGAGCTGGAAGGGGAGACAGGGATATATCTCCAGAAAATCGATTCCCGCTTGCAGATAAGCTTTGGAGTGAAGTCAAGTTTGATAGACATTGTGGCAACTCGGCCCCCAGATAATTAGCAGAGAGGTCTAGCATCCAGAGAAGCTTTAAGGTGCATAAAGCTGCACGACAACACAATTAGAATTACCATATGTCAAGAACTAGTTGGTCCCAATAACTCGAATTGTTGGGAGAAGGTTCTGCTGGATCTTATACTACTCTCTAACAACATGTACCTAACTAATGTACCCAAAAGGAAAAACAGAACAAAACGAAGTAATAGCTAGGTTGATCCTGATACCTTGAGGGATGGGGGAGCTAAGGTCCGAATCTGCAACCCTCAATCGAGTAAGATTGGTCATGACGGTGGCCACTGTTTCAAGGAAGTTGTTGCATGAAATGGAGGATTCATCTATGGCCAGACTTTCCAAATTCGGCCATCCTGCATCCATATGCACTGATTTGATTCCTACCAATTGGCCGGTATTACTATAAGAAGAAGTTAAGAGTGTAATACGTTGGTTATTAGATGAAAGAAACTCTAACCTTGATTCTGGATGCAACCAGAGATATGAACGCCTTGTAGTGAAAGCCGTCTCAGTTCTTGGAAAGGCAGAAACAGAGAAGCATTGATATCCGGCTTCGCTGGTGAGTTGAAATCAGAATCTTAGGGATAAGAAAGAGTGAGCTCCCTCACTTTCCCTGTGGCGGGATCGCAACGAACTCCATCCCAAAGGCAACAGTTGTCGTCGTCGGAACTGTTTGTTCCGCTCCAACTGCTCATATTGAGGTGGAGGAGGCTGATTCTTTCTTGTTCCCAGCAGCCATCACAATGCTTCCATTCCTCAAGTACTGTAAACACTAAACACTACTGCCATGGCCCATATAATCCAACCATAACACGCCTTTGATCTTCCCACGCTCATTGTGGAACGTAATTACCTAGTAGCTAACTAATTTTGTCTCTCTGCTTGAAAACCACCACGCTAGCTGGCTGGCTGGATCGTTAATTACTTGGCTTCTCTCTATTTATTAGGGCTGGGAAACGGTGCGGTCTGGTCTGGACCAGACCATATATACGGTCTACGGTCCAGACCGAGAGGCTAACGTATAGACCACAGACCAGACCACAGACTATACGGTCTGGTCCAGACCACGCCTGTGCGGTCTGGTTCGGTCTGGTCTGGTCCAGATAGACCACACTCAACGAAAAATGAATAATTTGTTTAGTCAACCACACAAAAAATTGAACCAATAACTAAGAAAAATATTTGTTATTTGCCTTAAAACATTAATCCTAACATGCATGAATAATTTTGATACTCTAAATCTTAGTACATAACAAAGATACAAAGTAAAAGCATCTCAGCTTGCACCATAATGTCATAAATATTAACATAATGTCATATGGAGACACGATTATCTCTACTCTGTGGTTAAATGTGGTTGTGAATGAAGGAGGGAAGAGATTCACAAAATTAAGGTTGAGACTTGGGTGTCGTTGTGGGAGTTTGGAGAGTGGTTGAATGGGCTGTTAACACGTATTGACAAGTCAGTTGGGTCTACGGTTTGGTCCGGTAAACCGCGGTCTAGACCAAACCAGACCAAGAGATTAAATCATAAAATAATACAGATCATGGACCAGACCAGACCATACTTCACGGTCTAAGGTCCAGACCAAACTGTGCGGTACGGTTTGGACCACGGTTTTTCTAACGGTCTGGTCTATTTTCCCAGCCCTATTTATTTATGTTGTATGTGTTAGAGAGTGGTATATGATCCACGATTGAACCTCTCCCAACAACTCGAGTTATTGAGAGCAACTGGTTTTTGACATGGTATCAGAGTTTAGAACCGAAAGATCATGTGTTCGAATCTCCACGACCCCCAATATTAACCGTTGTCTTTCAAGCACATGGCATGGTGGGCCTGTGCAAACTTCAAGCCCACGGGTTGGCTTTCATTTGAGGGGGCGTGTTAGAGAAATATGATCCACGATTGAACCTCTCCCAACAACTCGAATTATTGGGAGCAACTGGTTCTTGACAACACGACCTGCACTGTGCAGGGGCAATTAAGGCTCAGCTTGAGCCTCTCTAAAGTCAAAGACAAGTCAAGTCTCCCACCAAGGGCTCACTTTATTCCTCGGTTCCACAAGTGCAGCCAGCAATGAGTCACGTAGTGGGATGGAGGAATAGGGTTCAAGGAATAGGGTTCACACATTTCAGGCTCTCCTATTAAGAAAATAATTATCACATCCTACCTTATCTTTTCCTCTTAAATGTAAGGTTGCTATACAAAATTTATCAAACACCATATCTAGCTATTACGATTAGCTTAATTGATGGGATGAGATAGCATGCCTACCCTTAAAAGGATTTGAAAAATGACACTTCCTATTAATTATAGGTTTTTTAAGGTAATTAATTTGTGTTGCATTTAATAATTTGTATGAATTAAAAACACATATTAATTACTTTCCTTTTTTTCAGTGCACTGGTAGTTGTATCAGTGCAATGATATTAGTGTACAGGTGCAATGGTAGATGTATCAGTGCAATGGTAGTTCCAAAAAAGGAAGGTAATTAATATGAGTTCTGTATACAGGTGCAACGGTAGTTGTATCAGTGCAATGGTAGTTAAAAAAAGGAATGTAATTAAGATGGGTTTTTAATTTCCAAAGATTATTAAATGTAACACGAATTTAATACAAAAAAATAACTACAATCAATAGGGGTGTCATTTTTCCAACTCCTAGAAGGGTTAACATGCTAACTGATCCCCTTAATTGATTCCTAGACTAACCCATATTTGGGGAATTTCATGTAGTAATTAAGGGTGGGCAGCGCACACCGGATCGAACCATACCAAATCGATAAATATCTAGACCTAGTCGGATCAAATGTATTTCGATTGGGTTGTGGTCCTAGCTATGAATTATTTTAATTATGAGGACCAAAATTGAATTTGAACAGAACTAAAATGAACCAAACATACTTTTTTTTTATCCGATGATCCCATTTTTCCTTTGTTTTGGTTGGTCCTATCTCAATTCGATTCGATTTCGAACCCAATCACTAATGACCAAGAAAATCTAGTTTTCTGGCCTCATGCCAACCACTGCATGCAGCCTGCAGGCCTCAATTTTCCATACGTGCACGATGCATTTTGATGAATATATCTCACAATAACTATAAGGAGGTTCTCCTTCGGTATCCCCTCATTCCAGTTTTCCTTGCTTCTGCGCAGTCCTCGGCGGGGCCTTTTAGACTTTTGGTATAATGGGTTTACTAGGTGATTTGGGTATATTTAATACCAAGCGGCAGATAGAAAATGAGACTTAGTCATTATAATTGTACTGAAACTCTAATCCCCTTTTTCTTTCCAGGTTTTCTTCCGTCCAACTTCCAAACTAGCGCTAGGTATTCTAATTAAGTAATTATTATTATAACCATATATTACATTCTATGGAAGTGACAAGCAAGAGCAAGTAACCACAAATTTAAGTTAAACAAATTTTAAAGAGTAAATCCTAATTATTAGTCAAATCTATTGAATTACTAATAAATAGCCAAATTTTTTGTAATGCATCAAATATTAGTCATTTTTAGGTTATCGCTAATAATTGTGTAACTCTTTTCTTAGTTAAAATACTAATTTTTTTGGAATTTTGACATCCACGTGTCTCTTCCAAGTCAGCATCATGTTGCCAAATCAATATTACTAACAAAATTGCTAACTGAAAGATAATATTTGACTAATTACTAGCAATTCAATAGATTTGGCTAATAAAATAGAATTTGAGAAATGTTTGGTTAATAGTTAGTGTTTTATTGTGTTGTAGACAAGACAAAATGAACGTTCAGCGATCTAGAGAACATATGAAAAGGCAAAATTCAATAAATTCAGATAATCTATGTACAGCGTGGCAATACCAGCTTACATGTATAACTTTGTATTTTTTAATTGCATGATCTACTAAAGTTCTAAGCTTTAGTTCAAATATAGAAAAATGTGTTTTGAAGACAACTTTATGAAAAAGAACCATTACTCAATTCAACAAGATTCTTGCTAAGCTATCGGTGCTATGTTCATCAGCACTTCATTCTTCTCTGTCTCCAAACCTCAAGTTACATAAATATTTTTTACTTTATTAGTTTAGTAGTACTTGAGTTGTTAATGTTCATCTATTGGTGATTAGTCAGTGTTGCCAGTGAATAAACTATTGTCTTTCAAAAAAAAAAAAAGTAAATTAGAGCTACCTTGATGTAACCTAAATTTGATATTCATGATTGAATTTCACTCAAGGTGCATTATTAAATGAAGGAATGGAGTATTTACCAAAGAAAGGATGTAGTTGGAGTTCATATTAAGTTGGGTAAATACAATATATTAGCCAAAACTATTATGAAGCGGAGAATTATAGCCACAACTATGAAAATTCAAATTATTAGCCATAACTACTGTTGCGGGTCAAGATATGGCTAATTGTCCGTTACTGTTATTGAATTTTTAACGGAGAAGGCCACGACAGCGCCCACGTCAGAATGCTTTTAATTTATAACTTTAAAACATTAAATTTTAGTCAGTATTACTAACGAAATTGTTAACAAATAGTTAACGTTTGGCTAATAATTTGGATTTTCATAGTTGTTGCTATAATTTCCCGTTTCATAATAGTTGTGGCTAATATATTGTATTTACCCTATTAAATTTAGTGATTAACTTATCACAATATCTTAAATTTCATAACCGAATTAATAGTTTTGAAGATTATAAATGATGGCAAAAAAATAATCTCCAACAACATTTGTGATTAGGATGAGGTAAACAAACATTTGTGATCAGGTTGAGGTAAATTGTTTTGCCATGAAAATTATATTTCATATATGATTGTGTTTTATTTTTTGAATTTGCTTCACAAAAAATGTGAAAAAATGCATGTTGATAATGATGATAGTGAAGTTGATGATGAATATTCTTGATTGTAAAGAGGTACTAATATTGGTTATTTTGAAATATCTATAATATTGTGTCATTAAGTTTAGAATGAGTTGATATACCCTTGCATAAGTCATATCTTTTTAATTTCAACAAGAATGTGTATAGAAGACAACAATGACAACATTAAGTTTATGATGGATGCTAATTTTATATTTTCCAAACAATTTAAATTTGAAGTTTTGTTAGTTACCATTATCGTATGGCAGCCGGCCAACGGGCCGGGTACTATCTAGTATTGTATAGTAAGATTTCTTAGAGTAATGATATTTTCTTTCTTTTTATAAGTTACGAAGAAGATTATCTGTTGATACTTAACTGGTATTTTGGCCCGCGCTCCACCACGGTAAGAAACTAATGATTTAGTTTTAATCAAATAAGTCATAAAATTATTCAGATAAGATACATATGTAAGTTTTACGTAATGTCTTAATCATTACGAATAACATACGGCATCCGTTTATTTAAGTGATACATAGTAAATAACTATTTCTAAATAAGGTTTACGTAGTATTTAATCATTATGGAAAACTTACATATTATCTTTTTATTTCATACATATAAAATGATTACTTGTCCATAAACTTTACGTAGTGTCTTAAGCATTAAGAAAAACTCATGTAATAATTATATAACGTTATTACATAAATCTTTCATAATGTGTGGCAGGGGTAGAGCTAGGATTTGGCCCCTGGAGGGGGGGATTTCTTACTCGTAAAAATGCTTTACAATATTCAAATTAATAAAAGGATTTTTTTAAATGTTATGACAATTGTACTTCTTCAATATTATTAAAGTCAC